TTCAAGACATTCTTTTGCATCGTCGGTGTTCTTTTTCCGTTTCTTGCTAGGCTTTTCATTCTTTGCTGGCTCAGCATCAGTATTGTCTACATTCTCCACTTTATCATCCTTGCTCCTCCCGCCATTTTCTGCCCGTGTCACCTTCCCACTCTTTTCCACACTTGGTGATGATATTTTCTTTGCAGTTACTTCATCTTCAGAAGTGTTTTCCTCTTCAGACTCAACTACATGGTGTTTCTTCCTAAGCCGTTTGAGTTTGCCTTTCTTTTTTCCTGGACATTTTCCATAAAAGTATGAAATGGACCATGCTACTTCTTTTCAGTCTTACCATAACCCTTTACTGTTGCAGTCAAGAGTAACCAATGGACCATGTAGTAAAAATTGGAGAAGACGCAATGCAGTGAGGTAGTTTAAAAAAGGGTTCATGTATGATAATCCTAACAAATACAAAATCATGGCCGCCAAGCAGTGCTCCAGAAGGGTGTGTATGGTCTGCCACACACCCTCCTCTTGTGGGATTTTACTGAGTTTGTTGTTGAAGTGGTTTCAAAATTCAAATTAGTTGTTTATAATTTATATTAATGGTATTGACTACATTTCCACTTCAGATGTTTATCTAGAGATGTTTGGATTTAGTTGTCCACTTTCCAAAATATCTCACATTCAAGTAATGAATGCCAAAAAAAACTGCATCAAATTAGTCTGCTCCTTATTGATGACAACAATGCCAATACACTCTTTAGGGACTATTTTTTATGTTGATTCCCAATAATTTGTTAATGTAGTGGACAACTGATTTCAGAAGCCAATGTTAGCTGTTTAAATGTGTAAAATGACGGAATAGGCCAAGAACGTGATTTGAGAAAGCACTTGCTTAAGGGAAATAGTGTAAAATTAGGAAGCACTCTCTAAAAGCTTCTCCACAAAGATTCAAGTCCAAGCTTTTACCAAATGATCTTTTTTTAAGCTAATTCGAGAAGTTGTTGACAAATCCCCTGAATTAGCATTTTGAAGTGCTTAAACAACTAATTAAGACAATAAAAAAATCTTAAAGCTATCCCATAGACTCTTAAACAAATATGGCCTACAATCATCATCATATGCAAACTAACATCAACATTAATGACCATAAAAGGAGTCAAATTTACGGGTATGCCTTTACCGGGTACATCTCCATCACTTGAAACTGGTGTAGACAGCAGAACCTCCGGCTCTCCGTCATCTATAAAGCTATCCTCATATTCATCTTCATCGCTGCACTGATTGGACACCTCTGTGTCTGAGAAGGCAATATCCTCCCCAAATGACTCGGTGTCACTGCCCCCTAAATGTGTATATGAGCTCTTACTCACATAGTAACCAGTCAAGTGGGCACTTCTTGGTCCAAGAACAGAAAAGACAACCTCCCCGTCTTCCTCAAATTCCAAATCCAAATGGCACGACTCGGTCTTCTCAGGCAACAATGCACACAGAAAGAGTGGAGTCTTATTGCCCACATTACACTGAACCAAGCTCTTTGTTCTTGCACTACCGATACCCAATGTTGCCTGCAGGCATTGAACACAAGATGATTGAATTTCAGATAGTTTTAATAAAGATTTAATCTTGAGAGAACAAAAGATTCTATATTTGATCAAATCAGAATGAAACCAAAAAAAGAATCTTTTGCCATAGAGATAAAACGAAAAAGGGAGATTACCTGGGAAATTCGAAGCCTTCCTCGTGTCCGATCAAAGCGATGAGTAACTGGTTTTCCGGGTCTTACTTCGATCCCTAAAATACATTAAAGATGCAAGAAAAAAAAGGAATTCGGATCGGAAAAATATATGAGAAAATTGCAGAAATAAATAAATAAGCACATTAACAAGAATTAAGCCGATGGAGGACTAAGATACGGGAAATTTCGAGGTATAACTGACCCCAGAAAGACATCTTCTTGAAGAAGGTCAAAGGTGTACAGTGCGGATTTCCTTAAACCCTAGCTTTTTATATGTATTATAGTGCTGGGCAAGGACGACGGGGAATTTCTACACCTTTTCCCGCGCGTTCCCGATTAGTCTCCGGCTGCTTCTCCGGTTCTCCCCGGTTTTACCCAGGCTAAATTAGGGAGTAGGGCTAATTTGTAAATTTATTCTAAGGGGTGTATTCAATTCCGATTTTAATAGATTTTAATAGATTGTTGAAAATCAATGGATTTGATAAACTCCATGGATTATTTTAATTCTAGAGAGAGTTTAATAGATTTTAATCTATTTTATTAACCCGATTTTAAAAGATTTTGTGGGATTATAGCCTTATAGGGGTTGATTTTGTGGGATTATAGATAGGCGATCCATGGAATTTTCAGATCTGGATGCTATGGCATTTGATTTTTGACTCCGCAGCCATAAAGAAGAAAATTACGAGAAAATGTTCGCGTCTTTCATCATCTTCTCCGGTGTGAGAAAAGAAAACGTCGCAGAGGATAAAATCGGAACAAGCTTCATCGCGTCCTTCCATGTAAAGCTCTGGCCGGTCATCGTTGGAAAGCTTCGTCTTCTCAGGCTTCGCTTTCTGGCCGGTCAAGAAAGCTTCGTCTTCTCCGGCCGGGCATCAAATCGGAACAAGCTTCATGGCCCGTCTTCTCCGGCTTCGCTTCCTTCGTCTTCTCCGACTTCGCCGGACCAATCCTGTGCCGAATTTTGCATTGGATCTATGCTCCCGTCAAATCCGTTGAAATCTTTGGGAATAGCCATAGATTTGTCACTGGATTTTTCTTTAGAAAAATGACTCCAAAATCCATCAAAATCTATCCATAATACAAATCTTTTCAAATCAATGGATTGTTAAATACTTTTAGATTTTGGTGGACTTTTAAAAATCTAAATTGAATACTCTGAAATTTTAAATGATTTTATAAAATCCCAGTTGAATACCCACTGACTTTTAAAATCCAAAAAAATCCTAAAGAATCTGGATTGAATACACCCCCTAAAACTTCAATTCTTGAGTTTTGAATTTTGGACTTCTAAAAAAAAGATGATGAACTGTGAAAGTGAGAAAATTTAATCTAATTTTTTAAGACACGTTTGGTACACGAAATTGACAGAATTAAAATCCTATAGAATTAGATGGAATTGGATTCTCCCGTTCCGAATAAATTTTTGCATTGCTAATTTCAAATTCACATATTTTTATGCTGTCAAAAAACAGAATAGGAATTGCAGTTTCCTATTCCAATTTTATGATTTGAATTATGGGTACCAAACGGAGCTTTAAGGAAAATTTGTCTGAACACGTAAATGGAATCTGTAGTAAAGTTGCTATGTTACCTCACCGATATAAGGAACACGTAAATTTAATACTTATGAACCTTTTTTTTAAGACATGGATGAACGTATTTTAACCTCCACGGTAATTCTTAGACTTTTACTTTATGTTGTGTTTGGATTGAGGTAAGCCGGTAAGGTATGTTAAAGATTAAAATTTACCTTGTTTGGGAAAATATGGGATATGTAAGAGAAAAATATTTAGTTTCTTCTAATTTCTCCAGTTCCTTCCAGTTTCTTTCAACATCTAACTTTTTTTCCCAATTCTAAAGAATATGATCTTAATGATGTATGTTAAGTTTGAAAATATTAATTGTAAACAACGTCAAATACTCAAACTCGGGCCAAACGAGTAAAAAATCCATAATAGATAAATTTTTGTTCATAATCTCTAGTTGTGAGTTTCTCTTCGGCTCCGTTTGGTACACGGAATTCAAACTATGGAATTGGAATTGAAGGCTTCAATTCTAATTCTGGTGTTTGGTAGCAAAAAAATTATGTGGATTTGAAATTGATAGTGCAAAAAAAGAATGGGAATTGGTGAATTCAATTCTATGGAATTGAATCTCATGGAATTTCAATTCCAATTCCATCAATTCCGTATACCAAACGGACCCTTCATATTTTTAAAATGTTCAGCAACTACGGAGTATTTATTAAGTCACGATTTTTTTTGACATATTTTTAGAGTAATTGCTTTTTTGTTGATGACTTTTGTTAACTTGTAAAAGTTCATAAATTATTATATGGATGAATTTATAAATTTTGTTATATACAAATACACATAACAATAAATACTCCATAAAAAAGAAAGCATTCTACTCCATAATAAATATATCACCCCAACTAAATGTGACAACAATAATAACAATATTTCTTATTAGTGAAACTAATAATGCATGAAATTTTTTTATTGTCATCATTGACATTTTATTGATCTATTGATGCAATTCACAAATATGAATTTATAATAACTATAACTATAGGGAGTATTTTTGAAGGATAATACTAGAGCGTCTAGAACACTATGTTCTTTTGAGCTGAAAAATTCAACTTTCAACTTTTTAGAATTCATTTCAATTTCTTCCAACCCCTTCCAATTTTTTTTCTAACTTCTTTCAGTTTTTTCCAACGACTTAAAAAGTGTATTTATATATGATGAATATTCAATAACATTATATATCCAAATTTATAATATATCACCTCAGACACGGACAATGATGGACTATTTTTTATCCAAAATTAGAATTTTCTTACAACTTTATTTGGATGATCATTTACATGAGTAACTTTTTAACACTTAAATTATTCCAACTTTTTCCAACTTTTTCTAGTTTCTTCCAACTCTTTTTTAGTTTATACAAATTTCTTCCAATTTCTTCCAACATCCAATCCTGAAATTACAACCCAAAAAGAATATAACCGAAATATATATTCTTCACTACTTTGTTTATGTACAAAAAATGAGTTATTTTAATAATAAAATGAATTTCATAAGTAAATAAATATTTTTTAAAAAAGAAGCCTAAAAATATCAAAACCAAAACTGTCTACATGAAAAGGGAAAAGGAGCACGGGAGACTATGATGCTTTTGTCCCACACCGTTTCCCTAGAGAAATATAATGCCTTTGAAGTAATATAAATAAGGCGGACTTATCTTTCCGAAAGCATACCTTTCTCGGCCTTTTGGCTAAGATCAAGTGTAGTATCTGTTCTTATCAGTTTAATATCTGATATGTGGGCCATTGGCTCACACGATATTAACTCAATTTTTAAGGGGGAAGGCCCATTAAAGTAGCTTGCTACTTGGGCCTTCACGTGTCGCCTTGGGCTTACACTACTTCCTAGGCCCGGCACGCCCCACCAAATTAATGAGAAATTTTTTTCTAGTTTATATACTGCCGAAGGGAATTCAGGATAAATTGGGCATAAAAATTATATGCATCTTGTTCAATTAGATTATTTGTTGATTAAGAACTCTCAAATAAAAAGAATCACTTCGTGGTGATAAAATAAGATTTCTTGGAATGGGGGTAGACGGTATACTATTATAGATAGGATTGAATATTGTTAAAGATGGTGAGTTTAAAAACTTGAAATAATTAATTGGAATAAATATGAATAAGTTTGAAAATTATGAAATAAGTCTTAAAATTTTAAAGAAATTGAAAATAACTGAATTGAGTCGAAAGGAAATGTTAAGAGTTAAAATAAATACCAATAACAATATACTCCCTCTGTCCACCATCGATTTTCCCAGACAATATTCACAGATCAAATTTAATTCACTTTGTTTGTTTATTTTTAATACTAATTTCATAAAATAATATATTGTTGTCAGCTTTAGTTTTGTAGAACTTTTCATGTAGTTTATTACTATATAGATTTTATATTAAAACTTTACCCCTATATTCAAATAACTGAATTGAAAATAAAGTCGATCAAACCTCGTAATGCGCAATGGGAATATCTTAGGTGGACGGAAGGAGTAGTAAGCATAGTAACCATTACATCTACCTGTTTTAGGAATTAATCTCCTTAAGAGAAGAGCAAAAACACTTGCAAAAACTCATACAAAAACATGTCATGTAAAATTAATATATTCATTAATTTTATTGACAACCATGCTGTTTTTGTTTGGTTTGATTCGTTGTACGCAGTATAATTTACTAAAATCATTTGAAAGTGATAAATTAAAAATTGGGGTTAGACTAAACACAATCTTTTAATAGGGAATCGTAGTATATTTGCATTACTAACTATTAAATATTTACCTAATTAGGTAGTAGTCAGAGAAATTAAAACATATTATATTACATTAGAAAATTTGAATTCTCAAATAATTTGTATGTAATTTTGGGTCACGTCTAATTTTAAAAATCAATTTTTCAAATAACCCATTAGTGTTTTCAGTAATTCTTAGACACTTCTTTTTTGTTTCTAACTATTAACTCCTAACATTTTTCAACTCTTTTTAATTTCTTTTAATTCCATTTAGTTTCCTCTAACTCCGAGTTTCTTCCAGCAATAACTTAAAAGAATATTTTAAAAATATTTTTTATTTTACTTTTGAAAGCTATATTTTTCATATTATCATTATTATTATTATCATTGTTATGATTATTGTTTTATAGGAAATATTAATATTACTATTATTAGTTGTGTTATTACTATTATTATCATTATTATTATTATTATGGAATAGAAAAATTGATGTGATCGCATAATTTATTTAAAAATTCCTTTAGTTCTCAAAATAATATTCCCTTTGTCTAGATTTAATCTTTCCATTTGATAAAATTTGTAAACTTTGATCTCGATATGCAAAAAAAGACATTCTCTTTCGATATAAATGTAGCTTCAACAGTTTTTCTTTGGAAATGTAGTTTAATTTTAAAATATACCCATGTATATATTTCAATATTAATGGTCAGAGTATTATATTGGAGGTCGTGAAAACTCAACTGTGAAGATTAAATTCAGACGAAAAATATACACTTATATATAAATAGAGTTATTAATAGCCAAAGTGTTATATAGAATACCATGAAAAGTCAAATGGGAAAAAAGACACTCTCTTATGAGATAGATGAGACCATGTAGAGTCAAATAAGAAAAAAAGATATGAGTTATGAATTTTTTTTTAAACGAACCATAAAAAAAGTAGATAGTTCGTATTTTTATTAATAAATTACAGCTATAACTTTTTTCAAACGAAAAAAAGAACAAATTTTTTAGGACAAAGAGAATTCAAGGTTGGAAGCGAATTACAATTACCAAATAGAATTCTTATTTATTCGAAATTGGGTTTAATAATATTCGGATAGTATGTAGTACATGGTTTAGATATTATTTTTGAAATAAAATAATAATTATTTTTCTTTAGATCATTTTTGTAAGATACAAGACACAACACAACTTATAATCACCCAAATAATTGTGCACTCAATTTTCTCCCTAGAAGTATTATGTAACTCAGCTCGTAAATGTGTATGGAATATTTTTTTATCTCGTAATGATTGTCTTATACCTTTATTTAGGGGATTTTGTTTAATAGCTTAATCATTTAGTTATTATTTTTGAAGAAATAAAAAAGAGCTAATTTTAGTATTTTCTAAATCATTTTTTTGCATAACTAGAGAAAAAAATGCAAATCATGTGAAATGAGTGATATATATATATATATATAATACAAAGTTAACATCCTTGGTCTCAGGTCTATCATTATTATTTTGATATGTAAAATGTGATGTATTATTATTATTTATGTTTATTTAAAACATTCTTAGATTATTTATTTCCATTATTTTCTTTTAATTAAAATTGCTAAAAAGTATTGTTTCATTTGTCACTTTTATTTGTTACATGCGTTATAGGCATGAAAATTAAGAAACATGAAATTTATGAGATTCATAATCAGTTTTGAAATTTAAAAAAGAAAATGTAAGTTTAAGTCACACAAATGTGCCTAATATGATATGGGACAAAAATATAATAACATATACGAAAATAAAAAGAGATACAAAAACCAAGAAAGAAGAGTATAAATTATCTAAAATAAAATATGAAATTTATTAAATCAATAACTACTCCTTTCACCATACTTTCTCTTTTTACTAATTAATTTTTTTTATAAAAACTTAATTTTTTTAAATCAAAACCTAATTTGTTTTTCAAATGAGGAGAGTTTATTTTTTTTATAATAACTAAAACTCTAAGAAAATTTTTTTGATGGACAATTCTAAGAAGTATATTCTCCACTAGACCACTACTTCGTATTATATATAAAAAAATAATGAGTAATTTAATAACCAGAAAATTTCATACGTAAGAGTAATTAAAATAAAGAAGCTTAAAGATATGTAAAGGGAAAAGGAGCCAGCCAGACCATAGGGCCTCTTTCCCACACCGGTTAACTAGGGAAATATAATGCTTTTGGGATAGTATAAATAAGGCGGCCTTTGCTCGTCAATAACCATACCTTTCTCGGCCTTTTGGCTAAGATCAAGTGTAGTATCTGTTCTTATCAGTTTAATATCTGATATGTGGGCCATCGGCCCACACGATATTAACTCAATTTTTTAAGGGGAAGGCCCGTTAGAGTAGCTTGCTATTTGGGCTTTCGTGTGTCGCCTTGGGCTTGCACTACTTCCTTGGCCCGGCACACCCCACCAATAAAATAAAATTTTTATTCATCAAAATTTTGAATGCAATAAGATCGCTTGTAAGACACTGTATTTAACTAGGGGATGCTGAAGACGTTATTTTCTCATCAAAGTAAATAACCTGTTACACACCAAAAAAGCAAGTGCCTATTTTCTGAAATTCTAATTTGTTTGCTTTAATACAGCAGCCTAAGGGAGCTTCAGAAAAAATTAAGTGTTGAAGATGATCTATGAAGCAGCGTTGAAGAACTTATGAACAAGGAACAAAAATTACGAACAAAAATTACGATTTCTTAGTTTAACTAATCGCATAAATACTTTCAGATCAAAGATTTTATATGGAGAAATGTATAAATTTTGTTATATACAAATACATAATAAGACTATCCGTAATATATCACATAAAACTCCCGTGATCCTACATGGCTTTGGCCACTTTGGCATGAAAGAGATGGAACACCATCCCTAGTATTGCGTGAGTGGTTCAATTGAGTTGCACCGTGACCCTGCTCACGGAGAAATGCAGCAAATATGTTTTAATTCTTTTATTTTATACTCCGTATTATAAAATCATTACATTTTGGTTTTCTATTGTAATACTCCGTATCTATTTTGCTCGTAACTTTTTGTACGTAAATCATTACTTGATTAGTATTATGTTCTCGGAAATCTTTTCACAAGATTTATCCAACGACACCAAATATTATGTCTTTACTATAGAAAAAGTAAAGGAAAAAATTGTACTAAAAAGTTTCTTTTTTCTTTTTTAAAAGTGTGTCATATGAAGCAACACTATATATAAAAAAAGTAAAGAAAAACAAACAAAAATGTTTGAACGAAAAAAGGAAAAAAGCAAACAAAAAAATAAAAAACATGAATTTAACAGAAAAGAAAAAAAAATTAAATAACAATAGGAAATAGAAAAATGAAAAAAGAACAAAATTTTAATATATATTTTAAAATATATAATTTAATTTGAATAGTAATATTAAATATTAAATAAAAAATAAAAGTGTAACCACTACACTGGAAGTGAGGCAGTACGAGTGTAAAGTGAGTGAAATGGTGAGTACAGATGTGACGCTGAATGACTGCTGATTTGAGGTGAGCGGTAGTAGAGCGCTGCAGATAGTGTTAAATATATCAATTATTTAATATATTTAATATTATATATTATAATTATGGTTGTTACCTATTATAGTTAGATTTATTATTATATAATATTACCTTATATAATTAGTCATTAATGTAGAGGATTCTAGAATATATTGCTCCACCTAAAAATACATACTTTGTATTCCTCTTCTATTCATTCAATCAATAAAGCATTCTTTGTTATTTTACATGGTATCAGAGCCACTGTTCTTGGTGACCTAAATTTCTCCGCTTTCGTTTCTGGCGGGCGGCACTGCCATTAACCGCCGCCCGCCGGATCACTGTTTTCCTCTGACCCAAATTCTTAACCATCTCTAAAACTACAAAGTTTTCTAGTTTTTTTGTTGTCCGACGACTTAAAAATGGTCTAAATCAATTCCTACTGCCGCCAGATCTTCTACCGGTGTTGCCCTCAACAATTGGTCTTCTTCTTCATATTGATGGCCGAGATCAACCCGAGCATCCACTGTCGCCGTCCTCCTCCTAGATTGACAGCGCAACTCTGTCCAGAGGGATAAATTCTTCCATCCTCTTCTCCTAATTGCCGCAGCTTTGACCAGCGACCCCTACTCCACCAAACTACTGGCGCCAAGATCATCACCTCAACCTGCTTAGTGTGTAGATCTTCAGTCAACATGCATCTCCAGCAGTACCTCAATCCTTGTGTTTCTTCTCTAACCCAGTCGCGCACAACTCTAGCGCGCGTCAACCTTCTCCCTCTTTTGACGTCAGCAGCATGAGTTCTTCTCTCCTCATCAGCACCTTCACATCTCTTTCCTGACAATCTTTCTTCTTCTCTTCTAAGCCAGATGCATTCAGTCTACTCTAGTCGAAGATATGCCTCTAGCTTTTTATTACAATTCTGGTCACGATTCAAGTAAAGTTGGCGTTCAATCTTCACCGTTTAGGACGTTGGGAGCATGTTAAATATATCAATTATTTAATATATTTAATATTATATATTATAATTATGGTTGTTACCTATTATAGTTAGATTTATTATTATACAATATTACCTTATATAATAAGATATTAATGTAGAGGATTTTAGAATATATTTCTCCACCTATAAATACATACTTTGTATTCCTCTTCTATTCATTCAATTAATAAAGCATTCTTTGTTATTTTACAGATAGCCTAATAAATAAAAAGAAATCACCCTGCTCCATAAAAAATATATCACCCCAACTAGTGTGACAAAAATAATACCAATATTTCTTATTATTGATCTATTGTTTGTAGTTCACATGTCTCAATTTATAAATTATTTCTCTTTTCTCTATTGATCTTATATTCAACTGAATTTATTTTTTTTCGAAGAGTAATGCTAGTGGTACACCAATTTGATCTACCCTATTTGTACACTATTCATTTTCATCATACATTCATTATCTACTTTTTATTTTCTTTTATCAAAACTTAATTATTTTTTTTCAAATGAGGAGAAATTGTTGTAATTATAAGAACTATAACTATAAGAAATTTTTTTGAAGGATAATTCTAGGAAGTAAAAAAATAATGAGTTAGTTTAATAACCAGAAAATTTCATACGTAAGAGTTGTTAAAATAAAGAAGCTTAAAGATATAACACAAACTGATAACGTGTAAAGGAGAAAGGAGCACGCGAGAGTGACGAGACCATAAGGCCTTTTCTCACACCGTTTAACTATGGAAATATAATGCTTTTGAGATAGCTTAAATAAGGCGGCCTTTGCTCTTTTGTAACCATACCTTTCTCGGCCTTTTGGCTAAGATCAAGTGTAGTATCTGTTCTTATCAGTTTTAATATCTGATATGTGGGCCATTGGCCCACACAATATTAACTCAATTTTTTAAGGGGGAAGGCACATCAAAGTAGCTTGCTACTTGGGCTTTCGCGTGTCGCCTTGGGCTTGCACTATTCCCTCGGCCCGGCACACCCCACCAAATTAGTGTCAAAATTTTAGTTAAAGTGTGATCTACGAAGTAATTTGTAAGGCATTTTGCTATATTACTCTTTAATCTACCTATTTTGAACAAACTAGATTTTACCCGTTGATGCATGGTAAGAATATTTCTGGAATATAATAAAATTATGGAGTACAATAAAATTTATAAATAGCTAAGTAAAGTTTGTCTCATTGGAATAATGGATTTTTTTGAGCAGTTGTGATAAACTCTAATAGTAGACGTGATACCCATTTTTTCTCATATGAATATTACATTACAAAAATTAAATTGAACCTAAATGTTACAAAATTTAAAATTTTTTTAATAAACATTTGAAGTGTGATAAAAAAGACGGTTTTGATCATTGCAATTCAAGATCTTCCATTCTTGTTGACATGCCAAACACCAACATGATTACCCTTGTGTTTTATCAATTATCACTGCATATGAGTATATGATAGAAAATTATTTTCTTAAAAACTTGAACGACAAAAAATGTAATCAAATTCCTCAGTTGTAGATTTTTGGAAAAAAATCAATTGTAGATTAAAAATAGCATATCGACTTGCATTGCAGAATCAAAGTTAAAAAATTATACCAAAGAAGTTATTCTTTTGGGCAATTACAAAAGATTTATCATCGCAACATGCCAACATGTGAGCAACAAAGTGAGCCGCCTATGTTCATTTTTTTCACCAGCAGTCTTCATTTTTATTTCGTTGAGATTTGGACTTATTAGAAGCTGCACACTCATGATTGAGAATGTTACTATTTTAATCAATAAATAACGCAACAACGAAATGTAATACGAATATCAAGAATAAATTACAGTGTTTAAGAGTGACCAAAACAGAACCCTTTTTCATAGTTCGCTCAAACATGTTTGTCAGTTCATTGAGGAATGGATGTGACTCCCGAAGTTGTCCTTTGATAAATTCAATGAGTACATATAAAAAATCAACATTTAGCAAGGGGAAAGTAGGGTAATTAAACAAAATTAACCACAAAGTTGAAGTTAAACACAAAACTATTATATATTAGTTAATCAAATTTATGATAATGGTAAACAAACTTGAAAATGAAAATTTAATAAATACTCCGTAGAACATTAAAAGTTGTAAATTAATACCTTGACAATTCATATTTAGTTTTGCCCGTCATCCAATAGGTAAGCCAAAATAATGTAGCAAAGGTAAGCCATCTAGTTCACAGCCAGAGTCACCGTCATCCAAGAGGTAGGCTAAAATCATCCCATCCATGGCTCCCAGTTTCTACCCGAATCCCATCCAAATTGCCCGTCCTGAAAAATTATCACTCAAAAGCCATAGACCCTGCCATCTTCATCTGGACCTAGGGGTAAAATCCTAAGATATCCCCCAAGTCAAAGTTTTTCAATTGGGTCGGAGAGGGGAGCACATGAATATGAAAGTTCTAGATTGATTCGAGGATAGATCTTAAGAAGCGCCAGGGTTTCTGTTAAAGAAGATGGGATGTGAAAGAAAAGTGAGTGGATGATAAAAACATACCTGAGGGGGTCAATTTCCCGAGCAAATATTATTCAAGGTCGCCGGCGACAATTGTATTCAGCAGCAACTCCTGATTACGATGCATCTGCCCTCGCTATCCCCTCTATCACCGTCGTCTCCCTTCCGACTCTAAGGATCCGTCCAAGGCTCATGGCGTGATTGAGGGTGAAGAAAAATCACGCACGTTTGAGACTTGAAAGCGTATGTGTGGGAAGAACGTGGTGCCTACCTTATCCGAGTAATTGAGAGATCATGGCTTGACGGTTGATATAGCATTTGGGCGGGATTTTTTCCTGCTGCTGTTGTAAATAGTAGGATATCAATTGCATATCAGAGCCATCCATAACTACATAGACCTTCCTTTAATTGGTAAGATATAAGCAATATTTAGACCTTCCTTTAATTGGTAAGATATAAGCAATATTTCAATCTTAAAACTGAATTAGAATCATTTAAGATATTAAGTTTTGTGCATTATTAAAATTTTTCAGCATTAAATTTTGTTTATAATAGGTTATGCAACTTATAGATTATTCCACAAAATTGAAAGCATCAACTTCAATAGTAAATTTACATCACAAATCATTGTTACTTCTGCTTCAATGCCTCCTACGCCACAACCCGTAACTTGTAGGCCATCAATCATGGTTGTGTGAGAATCTTTTCCCACCACACTATCTAGATAAAGTGTTCCATCAATGTTGAAGATAATCCATCCAACATACTCAATGTTTACCTGCAATAATGTCATTGGTGTTATGTTTTGAACTAAGCATGATACTTAGCAAGTCTTTAATTTGGCTCTACCAAAACTATTAATAAGTGGATGGAAAATATCTAAGATTCGTTGGATGAGATATTAAGATGAACAACACTCTAGTTTTAAACTATGGAGCAAGATTTCATTCTATAACTAAATTCCTTCACGTACGGAGTGAATGGTTCTCCCATCTCCACTGCATGTCTGCATGTCTACCAGTTCTATTTCAAAAGCAATCCCAAAGTATTATCCCAATTGACTCAACCTAATTCATCATGACGATAGAAATGGGTCACTTAGTCAAATTTCTCAAGTTATGAGAGACAAATGGTTAAACAAACAGACAAAGGGGCAACCTCAAATTCTAGAGTTGCCTTCCAATTTGACATTCTACGTCTAGGAGCAGCTTCTTTAGATGTGGTTCCACCTTTATGAGTTTCTCTTTTTGTTCTACAGCAGCCAAAACAGTGCGCATAAGATTAATAGATAACTCATTTAGATTTCCAAATAAAATTTAAAGTAAACACAATAAACAACTATAAATAAAGGATTATAAAAATATCTTGCAATCCTTAAATTGTAAATCCAAACAGACTCAAATTGTTTTTTCAAACCTATATGAAACATGTAACAAACAAAGAATGAGAGACTGGTAACAAAAGAAATGAATCTTTAAAAACTATTGGTCTGAAATCATAAGTTAATAAATGTACAAAAAAAAGAATTATAAGATTCTTGGGGAAAAACAAAAGACTCTTAGTAATAATTGACTTGATCAATTGGGTGAAGATAAAATCTAGCAAAAAATTAAAATTATTCAAAGACTGATAAAATTCTCACTGAAGCCTGGTCTTACTGTGTTAGGGGACTAAATTAGCTTGATTAGAACCATAAGGGTGGCATGGTCACTTGGGGTGTATTGGAAACCATCCGGAGTGCCATATGAGCTTTATAAATTAAAGTTTTGTTCACAGGACTCACAGGGACATTTCATCAAATAGGTGGTGACTCATGTTTGCTTGTGCAAATTTGCACACTGAAAAGGGACATACCTGCCTGAGACCTTGAAGACACTTGCAGAAGGTGCATACACCAATACAATACAACTAAAACGAAGCAGGAAATGTAGAAAACACATTGCAAACTGCCTGGACCTATGTACAAAGAGCTTCTGGGATGTTGGGGTGAAAATATCTCTCCCAATCCTACAAATGAAGTTATGAAATTGTAGAGGATACCTGGGAGATGGTCAAAAGCAGAAATCGACCTTGCATTCTCATCACCTGAAACCATGCCCATCCGATCTATCACTCTCGTCGCCATGGAAGCTTGCGTCCATAAATACAAAAAAAACTTAAAATATTACGGAGTACAATAAATATAAAGAAACTGAAATAGAAATTAGAAAATGGTGTTAACCTCTTCCTGAAGTAGTGAATCCCATCCCTTCCTATTTGTCTGTAAAATGAAGGCGGATAGATCCACGGGCTTCCACCAACGAACCAACAACCTTCTCGCCTTCAATATAGCTATGTAACTCTGAGCATAAAAGCTAGAGACATAGAAGGAAGAGGCTTCTAAAGAGGTGACGAAGATGGGGGTAAAAAGATGAGCGGTTGACATTTGCCTTGCAGGTTTTGTGCAATGCTCTCTGGGTAGCGGTTGTCTTGCACTTTATTACTGCGGTTCACAGGTAAAAATTTTGAGCGGGATAATTTTCCTGCTGCTGTTGTAAATAGGGAGATATTGATTGTGCATTTTTGTGAGTTTATTTGAATATCATCTAAATTGAATACGTCTCTATTCATAATTTGTAAATGTTTTATTTTCAAATCAAAAACCATATTTGAACTTAAATTTGTAATTGAAACATGCGAAAACAAATTGTTATATTCGAATACGAATCATGAATTGAGTTAAAAATATTTGATTTATCCATTGATACAGATAGATTTTGATTGGCACACTTTTTTTTCATATTCACAACTCACAAGTCTTTTTTTGGGTTGGAGTCCTATTTCTTGGTATCTTTTTAGTTAAAGTTTTTTGAATAAACAATGGATTCTCACCCTACCATATTAACTTTAACATTTCATCCATCAAAATGAAGATGTAACTTGAAATCTGTATTTGAGATTAAAATCAAAGATTAACGTAAATGTATCCCATGAGATATTAACCCTTTTTTTTTGAAGGGGATGGCCCATTATAGTAGCTTGCTACTTGGGCCTTTGTATGTCGCTTTGGGCTTGCACTGCTCCCTTGGAATATAAGCAGTTAGGGGTTTTAAAAACTTATTAAAAGTTGGGTACATATTGGGTCGGGTCGAGTCGGTCAAATTTAATGATCCAAATCCGAACCGACAAGATTCGGGTTCGGTTTAGATTTTTTCAAGTCGGTTTTGAATATTTGATTTTTTGGGTACATATTCGGATATAATAAGCTACGCTAGGGTCGGTAAAGGTCGGATTCGGGTAGGATTGCCATCTCTAGACTCTAGATATTAATCTGTAACATCGTTGAACGAGTGTACACTCCGCACCTCCTAACTTGTTTGATAACGATATAACGTCTATTCAAATTATTGTTTGATCTAAGTAAATCCTATCACACAAAATAATCGATGATACTAAAATCACCAACAAATCCTTCCTAATTACATGACTCTTTTTTAGGTTTAGCATGTCCATCCTCATATCTTTTCCTACCAATGTATCACACCTCAAAAAACATCTACATGGGACAAACCTTATTCACCTAGTCATATTAATCTTACTGTTCGTCTTGAAAAAAATGTCCTATTATCTTTATTTTTATATTCTAAAATAAATCTTCATTTCAGAGAAAAAAAATAGCGATTCAATTATTTTCCTCTTCTGTACAAATCTCAAATCTCGACCACAAAATTATACTTTCCCTAAATTTTATTAAACTCAATCTTGGACTTTTATTTTGAGACAATAAATCTTTGAGGATTTAGAGTTTTGCACTTTTTCTCCATAAATAGATTACCAATTTTGATACTAAACCATAAGGGAGGGACACAAAAAGTTAGATTAAATAAAATTGTGTGGTTAATATCAATGTTAAAAAACAAGTTAAAATAAGAAGATTGAGTTGTACAAATATGATCAATTATAGTATGCGACAAAAATAGTAGAACAAATAAAAATAAACGATGACAAAAAAAGGGCACTTTTTTCTAAAGAATAACTAATTACAAGGACCCTTCTAGTGCGAAAGTGGTAACTCTACGCATAATTTGAGATTATATTTAATATTTAGTTTTCCAAAAAACTATCCTAAGTTTAAACATTTTTAAAATATATCTAAGCTATTGAAAAATTATTGGGGTGCAAACTCCCTCTCACACCCGAAGAAAAAATAGAGAGCAACCTAACTCATTAGTATGAGATCTTTTAAAAAATTTTCAAAAACTAATTTATAATGACTTAACTAGAGCAAACGTTGGGTAAATTTGGAAATATCGTTTGAGATTAGTTTTAGCGTTTTGGATAAAATTTTAATGGAGCATATTATTCTGAAAATACTTACGCTAAACGCTGAACGTAGATAACATTTTCAAAACGCTAACGCTAATCGCTAATGCTATTTCCAAACATGCCCGTTATCATACTAGTGTGAAATTAGGGTGATCGAGTGTATGTACTATGGTTTCAACAAATTAATTAAAATCAAGTGCTAATTATAAATAAAGTAAAGTCCCTGAATGACTATAATTATATGTGATTTTCCATATTTGGTCTGTAATTTTAAGATATCATATAAATTATCTTAAATATTAAAAATTGTTTCATATTCGGTCCTTCAAGAAGTATACATGAATTTTTTTTATTATAGTTGACCTAAAGAAATATGTATGAAATAATTTTCAATAATTGAGAACCTTTTAAATAATATCTCAGAACTAAAGACTAAATATAAAAAATTACCTATAATTACTAATTAGTGAGCATCTATGGAAGTTAACCTTATAAGTATTGTGCTAAACTGTTCATAAATCTCATCATTTGTCATGCTCAGTATTATTATTATTATTATTATTATAATACTATTATTGCTAGAATGTAATACTCCGTAATACTCTAGTGATGGCCATAACGAATAATAGATAACGAACTTTTGAAGTAATTAATTTCCCTCATATATCCCACACCGGTAACGCACAGATAGCCCGGGCAACAAAACTCGTATAAAAGGCAAGGCCTGCCATGGATCAAAACCATCTTTGCGCTTGGGGCAATGACGCAGCTAGTGAGGTAATAACCGAGGCGCGTCTATTGCTGGTTGAAAACTATTTCCAAACCCCCTCTTTGGCTTTGGCTCGTCCTTAGCCATCGAGAATTTTTTGAAGGGTCCCTTTCACTAGGAACCCTACAAAATTAAGTTTAATTTTTTAATTAATTAACTTAGTTAATATACAACCAATTATTTATTGTTTACCAACTCCGGTTTCTTCAAATAATAACACTTATCATACTCGTCAAATAATATTAATTATATTGGCCAGTTATGTTACTGATGATAGCGAATAATAATATTACCCCCTCCGTCCCGCTTTATTTTTCCACTTTTGACTTTTGGAACTGTTCATCTAAGCACTTTGACTCATCAAATTCTCTCAATGTGTAAGCCTAAATATAGTCATGTGTGATCTTGTTTGATTTGTCTTAACATATAGATTATTAATATATAATTTCTATAATTTTTTAATATACAAATTACAAGATAAAATGGATTAAAGAAGTGCATTGGATGGTGTGCCAAAAAGTAAGTGGACAAAGACTGTGGGACGGAGGGAGTAAGTGTTAATACTTGTCCTAACCNGTTATGTTACTGATGATAGCGAATAATAATATTACCCCCTCCGTCCCGCTTTATTTTTCCACTTTTGACTTTTGGAACTGTTCATCTAAGCACTTTGACTCATCAAATTCTCTCAATGTGTAAGCCTAAATATAGTCATGTGTGATCTTGTTTGATTTGTCTTAACATATAGATTATTAATATATAATTTCTATAATTTTTTAATATACAAATTACAAGATAAAATGGATTAAAGAAGTGCATTGGATGGTGTGCCAAAAAGTAAGTGGACAAAGACTGTGGGACGGAGGGAGTAAGTGTTAATACTTGTCCTAACCACTAACTGTGTTTGTTACTCTCTCATGCATTTTGACTTGTGTCCAATATTTTTAAACTTTTAAACACTAATTACCAAAAAAGTATTAGAATTGTGATATAAAATTAATATCAATATACTTTTTTGAAATGTATTTTTAAAATATCATTTTTTATCGGCTAGGTCCAATTTTAAATGTGTAATTTTTATTTTTTTAATATCACACCATTTTTTACCTAAAACGATTGAAAATAACTTTGATGAAATATTTTAACGCGCAATGAGTTTCTTTCCAGGCGGAGTATAAAACAAGATGTTACAGTTTTTTTAGTTTCTTTCTTTTTAGTTTGATTTTTAATTTTCCACTTCCAGCTTTTTAAGATAATGCCCTAAATTCTGTGTTACTCCGTATAATAGTAGTAATGTATAAGGCTTGTTGATTAACCTTAAAAGTGGAATCTAAGCTTACGGAAATGTATCCAAACAAAACAAAATACCCAATAATTAATCATATAATTGAATCTAAAATCAAGAATTGAGATACTCCTAACAAAAAAATCTCGCAAAATTCAACGTAAAATTCTTACCTTTAACCAAATCAAAATTCGCAAAAAGAAATCGCATCCCTATTCCCCCAAAGAAACTCACATACGTGACTGAACCAAATTTTTAAAAAAATGGAACTTAATTTACGAGAGATGGTACACGGGGACGGATAAGGGCACGCGAAAATTCTGGGAGAAGAAGAAAAAGAGAGTAGAACCTTGGACTAAAAAGTAAAAAAACAAACAGAGTATCTATTCTAAAAGTGTTTCAAAAAACTCTTATCTATTCTAAAAGTGCACCAAAGGTAATAATGAATAAGGGTAGTAATGTTTTTTTAGAAGTATAAATTTTGCCAAAGAAAGAAATGAGAAGAAAATTTATGAACACAAGAAAAAGAAAGTGGGAAAAAGAATATGAACGGAGGGAGTCTTTTTTAATAATCTATTTATGTGAAAAAAATTATACTCAAGTGTATTTTTAGTTTGAAAAAAAAATTATGTGAAAAATTTATTTAAGAATTCACCTAGATTGCATGGTAGAAATATTTCTCCATTCTTTTTTTCCAGTTTGTAGAGATTAAATATTGGTTGTCTCTTGGGAGTCTTGGCTTGTGCCTTGTGGGGTTATTTTAAGAACTTTATTTCCGTAAACTCACATTTATCTTTTAAGTTGCATCGCAAATACAAATGTAAATGATAAATGGAAAATATTATCAAGAAGCCCGTCTAGCTCAGTTGGTAGAGCGCAAGGCTCTTAACCTTGTGGTCGTGGGTTCGAGCCCCACGGTGGGCGAGTTATGGAAATCAATTTTTTGGTCATTTGGTTAGTTCTTAAAAACATCTAGTCATTCCTCTCCACATGATTATTCTTCTATAAGCCTCATGTAAAACTACCCCTTTAATTCCAACAGGGACCAATTTCAACCATGGGAACGACTTCGTTCCCAAAACCTAAAACAAACCACCGTCCCAATTCCAACCAACCACTGATTCCGACGCGGCACCTTCTAAGAGAAAACACAAAAAGTGTTGGAGAAAACAACGAAGCCCAATTTGATGAAATAGACCGAGGCAGAGGAGGTTTCCCAAGCCTATATCAACACCTTTGAGGACCTTCAGATCGGTACGTTTTAAGTTTTGTTATATTTTAATGTTTTTTAAATACATAAAGATTTTTTAGTGATCTTTTTGACTATTTTGAACATATAAACACAATCTTTTTTAAACTTTTTTTTTAAAAAAGAAACTAGTTTTTTTAATTCTTTATTTTTGTATTTTCTAACACCTTTTATTTGCATTATTTTTTATAGGTCGTAACCAAACATCCTCGGGATTTTGGGCCTGAGTTCGGGCACAATTTTTCAAGCAATAGCAGGACCTACAAGCAAATGTGTCTATGTTCTCTAGCATTTAGAACGAGCAAAATAGGTGCTGGAGGAGTGTTCAGCGACGCAATAGTTATGAACGATGCCTTGATACAATACACTTGTGAGCGGGGAACGTTCAAGGCGTGGGAACTCATGCGTCAATCCACGAAGTGGCATACCATCCCGAGGCTTCAAGTCTCAAAACAGTCTAAGATGGATTCATCAATTGATGTTGGTTCGGGACATGTGGTGTCATCGTGACGGGCAAAAAAACACCGTGGGTAATGCCCCATAACACATGGTCTTACTCGCCATTTTTCTTTCGTTCAAGAAAAATGGATCTACAGACATTCGAAGCCCTTTGATTTTGAAAGAATTGGAAGAGAGATGGAGTTGAGTATGGTGGTTTTAATTCATTTTCATTTTTGGTTTTAGCTAATAGAAGAAGCTTAAATTTCGACTTCATTAGGGTTCTTGTTGTTGAGTATGGTGGCATAAATGGAGTGTACCATAGTTGCATGCGGGTTGGTGATGGTGAGGTGAGTGACTATATCATTTTCCCAAACAAAAGTATCTTAGGGCTCGTTTGGGAGCAATGCAGGATGGAATGATATGGTTTCTAGAATTTGAAAGAAATTGTTGAGTGTACGAGCTCTTAAATTGGAAATGAAAATATTTGGAGAGATTTGAAATGATCTTATTTAGTGACATGAACCAACTGTTGGGAGCAATATCAAAACGCTCACATTTTTAAAACCTAGAAAAATATTATAATACATACCTCACGCACTCACCAAGCATGCCTTTAGATCAATTGTTTTGATTGTTGCTAAATATATGAAACATCACCCCTTTTGTTATTATTATTATTTGTAGTTTTGAATCATTTTCATTCTTGGTTTTCTTACAAATGCTTGTACAACAGCGACAACGATCACGCGGATACGTTGCACTCTTCAAAACTTGAATGAAGGTTTGTTCATATTTCTTACAAGTCAATTGCACATTTAGGCTAGTTTGGATGGTGGGGTTTGGAAGGTAGAAGACTTAGAAGAGCTCAGTCATCCAACTACAAGTATCAAGATACAAACATTGTCGTCCAAACGCCCCCCCCCCCCTCTCTAGAAACCCCT